CTATGTAGTTGAGACTGACTTGGAACTCACTGTATAGCTCAGGCTGGTCTCGAACGCAAAGCGATCCTTCTGCCTCAGCCTCCTGAGTGCTGGGATTACTGGCATGCACCACCACGGCCAACTGGATCTTCTGTTTTGAGAGTTCTAATTTTTTTAGTTCTTTATATGTTCTTAATGTTCATCCTCTGTCCCATGGAATAAGAGTCAAAAATGTTTCCCATTCTGTAGGTTGTCTCTTCACTCTGCTGGTTGTTTCCTTTGCTGTGCAGAAGTTTTCGAGTTTGCTATGATCCCATTTGTTCTCCATATTACCTCTTGTGCCACTGGGGCTCTGTTCAAAAAGTCCTTGCCTATGCCTGTGTCTTGAGAGTTGCACCCATTTTATCTTCCAGCAGATTATTTCTGCTCTAACATTTAGATCTTTGATCCATTTTAGATTAGTACATGGTGAGAGATGTGGGCCTAGATTCAATCTTCTGCACGTGCGTAGCCAGTTTCCCCCATACTATTTATTTATTCATTTATTTATCGGTACCAGGGATTGAACTCGGGTCCTTGTGCTAGTGAGGCAGGCACTGGAACCACTGAGCTAAATCTCCCGCCCCCATGCTATTTATTAAGAAGCTGTCTTCCTTCCAGTGTGTGTTTTTGGTCCCTTTGTCAAACACCAGATGGCTGTACATGCCTGGGATTGTTTCTGCTTCTGTTCTGTTCCACTGGCCTATATGCCTGTTTTGTGCTAATACCATGCTGTTTTAATCATTGTAGCTTTTTAGTGTAACTTCGAGTCTGGGATTGTGATACCACATGCTTTGTTTTTGTAACCCAGAATTGTGTTTGCTACTTTGGGTCTCTTTTTTTTTTTTTTTACCAGGGATTGAACTGAGGACCTTGTACTTGTGAGGAAGGTGGTAGAACCACTGAGCTTGATCCCCAGCCCTATTCTGGGTCTCTTCTCTTCTGCTTGCATATAAATTTTAGGATTGTGTTCTCTAGCTCTGTGAGAAATGCTATTGGCATATTCATTGTGACTGCATTAAATCTCTATAACAGAGCTGGGGATTTAGCTCATTGGTTCCACCACCTGCCTCGTAAGCGCAAGGATCCAAGTTTGATCCCCAGTACCAAAAAAAAAAAAAAAAAAAAAAAAAAATCTGTATAACAATTTGGGAAGTGTAGCCATTTTGATTATGTTGTTTCTGCCTACTCAGGAATGGGATTTTGTTCCATTTCCTGATGTCCTCTTTCATTTCCTTTTTCAAAGTGATGTAGAGGTCTTTCATTTCCTTAGGTTAATATCTTAGTATTTAATTTTTATGCTATTGTGAGTGGTATTGCTTTCCTAATTGCTTTTTTAGTGAGCTCTCCATGACCCTGAATACCTCAGATGAGTGTAACTGTGCAGTATTTATTCTTTTGTGAATGGCTTGTTTTTACTTAGCACAATGTATGTAAGATTCATCCACACTGTAACATGGGACAGGTGGTCCCTTTTATTTTCTGGAACAGGGATCGTACTCAGAACCTTGTGCTTGCAAGGCAGGTGCAGCGCCACTGAGCTATACCCCGAGCCCAGGATGTCCTTTTTAAGGCAGATCATGTTCCATTTTACGTAAATACTACATCTTGAAAAAGCCATTTATTTGTCGATGGACATTGGGGTTGCTTCCACTTTTGGCTCTGTGTGTGTGGTGGGGATCAAACCCAGGGCCTCATGTGCTGTACCACTGACTGGACTCACCCCAGTCCCACTTTATGGCTCTTGTGAGTGGTGCTGCTGTGGACATTGGTGTACAGATACCCACTCAAGTCCCTGCTTTGAAGCTTTTGGAAGCTTATACCCAGAATTGGAATTTCTGGATCATGAGGTGGTGGTGTTTAAATTTTTGAGGCAGCTCCATTTCTGTAGCAGCCGTACCACTTTACATTACCGCCAGCAGCATGCAAGGGTTCCAGTTTCTCCGCATTCTCTCCACATGTGCACTTTCTGGATCCATTTTTATTATTGTTTGCAATGGTCGTGTTAATGGGTGTAAAGCAGTAGTAGTTTTGATTTGCATTCTTTTGGTATTGTTTATAGCACAATACATTTTAATTTTGATGAAACACAATTTATCTGCCCTTTGTTGCATGAGCCTTTGGTATTAAATCTAAAAGAATATTGCCTAATCCCAGACAGACGGTTTACTTCTATTTTCTGTATGGGTTTTCTAGTTTTAGCTGTTCCAGTGAGTTACTTTTTGTTTATGGTTTTAAAAAGGAATCCAGCCTGAGTGCTCTGCATGTGGCTCTCCCGTCCTAGCACTGTTTGCTGAAAAAACCATTGCTCTTCCTTTATTAAAGTATCTTGGCACCCTTGTCAGAAGTTAGTGGCCATAAGGGTCCAGTTTTATTTTGGGCTCTGATTCGGTCACATTGATCAGATGCCTCTCCTAGGCCAGCGGCCCTGAGTATCACTGCAGCCCTGTAGCAGATGTTAAGATTGAGAAGATTGGGCTCATTGTGAGCCCTTGCCTGGCGTGTATAAGGCCCTGGCTTCGATTTGAGCACTCCCAAAAAATTTAAAACAATTAGTAGTAAAATGGGAAAGGTAAAGTTCTCCAACTTTGTTCTTCTTTAGGTCTTTAGGTTTTTGTTTATTTTGAGGGGCTCTTCTGGGTCTTTTGCATTTCCACATGAATTTAGAGTCACTTTATAATTTTGTTTCTTTTTTTGATTTTGAGCCAGGCTCTCACTATGTAGTTCAAGCTGGCCTTGTCCTCACAGCAATCCTCCTGCCTCAGCCTCCCGAGGCTGACATTTACAGGCATCTGACATTTTTATGGGATTGTGTTGAATCTGTACATTGATTTGGAGAATCCCACCAGCATAAAAATATGAAGTCTTGCTATATGTGAACATTGGATGGCTTTCTATTTATGAAGATCTTCTCTAAGTTCTTTCAGCAGTTTTGTAGTTTCCAGAGTACATTTTTCATTTATTTTGTTAAGCTTATCCCTAAATACTGCATTCTTTTGATGATGTTATGAGGAAATATTCTTAATTTCACTATTAGAGAGTTTGTTGCTAATATATAGAAAGGTAAATGATTTTTGCATATTGCTCTCATACCCTGCAACCTTTCTAACCTTGTTTATTGGTTCTAATCATTTGCATTGCTAGCTTATCCCTCCTAGTCTGGATGCCTTGTATTCCTGTTTCTTCTCTAGTTGCCCTGGCTAAACCCCCATGCAGAGTAGAGTAGAAGTCATGAGAGTGGCCTGCTCTGTCTTGTCCCTGCGCATAGAGTGTAATTCAGTCCCTCACCAGCAGGTGTGGTGATACCTGTGCAGTGTCTGTAGATGCCTTGTCCCACCAGCTCGAGAAAGTTCTGTCTATCCTAATTAGACTGTTTCTATCATTTAAAGGTGTTAGAGTTTGTCACATACCTTTTCTGTGTCCGTTGAGGTGATTGTATTAATATTTTGAAAACCTTTATTCTACTGATATATTGAAAAATAATTTTTTTCAGTGCTTGGGATTGTACCTTCACACTGAGGTACATCTACTTCCCTCCCTTTTTAAATTTTTCATTTTGAGAAAAATTTTCTAGTTGCCCAGGCTGGGCTCAAACTTGTAATCCTCCTGCACAGAGTACTGGGATTATAGACCCTGTACCACCATGATTTTTTAGTTTGTTTGTTTGTTTTGGTACCAGGGATCTAACTCGGGACCTTGCACTTGCAAGGCAGGATGTGACACCACTGAGCTAAATCCCCAGCCCCTGTTTGTTTTTGTTTTTTGAGACAGAGTCTTGCTGTGTGGTTCAGGCTGGCCTTGCACTCACTGTGTAGCCAAGGCTGACCTCGAATGCAAAACAATCCTCCTGCCTCAGCCTCCTGAGTGCTGGGATAACAGATGTGCACCACTATACCCAGCTTACTCTTTTATTTTTTAGGAGATTTTGTATAGATCAATATTAATCATTGTCTAGATGTTTGGTAGAATTTACCAGTAAAGTCATCTGGACTTGGACTCTGTGCACGTACGTGGGTGGGTGTGTGTGCTTGCACTGGTGTGCACGCTAGAGGTCATTTTTAATTATTAATCCAATCATTTTACCTGTTGCATTGTTTCTTACTCATGGAGCAGGAGTCAGGAAATGTGGGCTTCTTGTGGGCCTCCTGGAGCTGCACCCTGTCCTCTCCCCATCACTGTGCCATGTTGCTGATGAGGTCAGAACATCCCGACCCTGTCTTGGATGGGAAGATGGTTGTATAACATCACCTGACACAGGAAGGCCTTAGTATTCAGACTAAGACAAGTTCAGGCTAGGGTGTGAGTGTGTGTGTGTGTGTGTGTGTGTGTGTGTGTGTAAATGTTGGTAAAAAGAGATCTCAACTGTTTAGATTTTCAAATCCTAAGTGCTATGGTACAAACATTTAAGGGGCAAAGTAGCTCTTGTGCACTGATGAAGTGAGCTCTAAAGTGTATAATTAAGTGAAGTATGCAAAATAATGTACTTTCATTGTGTTAGAAGAAAATGGAAAGGAACCTACGGATACTTGTGAGCTGGCAAATGTGTGTGCCTTGGGTGCCCAAGATAAGAGTCGGTGGCAGGACGCCTAGTGCTATGTGGGTTTCTCCTTATGGTCATGCTGCCTTAACCGGTGAGGTGCTGGTGCCTGTGGAGCGCAGCGGTGAGGCTGTGGCGGCTATTCCTCTGGAGCCTGCTGTCCTCCTGCCTGCACACTCCGCCAGAGTGCATGAGGCGCTGCCCAGATGCCGTAGCAAAGCCTCCTGTATGAGTGGGGGTGTTTCGGAGCCTCTGGGAAGCTGTTGGTCTTTACCCCTGCAGCCCAGCTGAGCGGGCTAGTTTCCTTTTGGCAGCCTACAAGCTCCGTGCTTCCATCTGGAGAGAGCGCTCTTTCCTTCCACAGGGGCTGCCCAGGAGACAGGGCACCCCCAGTGCAGGCTCCTGAGGCCCCAGGTGCCACGGTCTGTCTCCCGTCTCTCCACAGAGAACACCTTCTGCAGCGGGGACCATGTGTCTTGGCACAGCCCTCTTGATAACAGCGAGTCCCGAATCCAGCACATGCTGCTGACAGAGGATCCGCAGCTGCAGCCCGTGCAGACGCCCTTCGGGGTGGTCACCTTCCTCCAGGTAAGTGTAGGCACGGCAGGAGGGGATAAAGGAGCACGGCTCCTGCTGGGCTTCTCCAGCTTTGGTTGGGCCGGGTCAGGAAGGGCAGTGGGCTTGGGGGAGAGGAGCTGGCAGGGAGGGGATTTCAGACCTAAAGGCACGCTGTCTGGGCTGCGGGCACAGGACTTCCCAGGGGAAGCCAGCTCCAGGTCGGCCTCGCATGCCAGCGTGGAGGTCTGTGTGCAGGCTCACCTGCTTTCCTGTGGGGCCACCTCCCTGACCCTCCCTTGCTTTCAGAGATGGGGCCTGAGTTAGCTCAGGCCCTGCTTTTCTCCTCTGCTGCCGGGAGCCAGGCTTATTTTAGCCAGGCCTGAGCCATATGAGGACCTGGCTGTCCCATTGCTGGGAGCCCCTCCCTCCACAGGGAGCCCCCCACCTGCTTTGAACACCAGTGGGTGAAGCTGGGTGGCTGACCTTGGAGGCCTGGGGCAGCCAGCAACAGGCAGTGGAATCTTGTCCCGGCCTTCAGATTGTTGGTGTCTGCACGGAGGAGCTGCACTCAGCCCAGCAGTGGAACGGACAGGGCATCCTGGAGCTGCTGCGGACTGTGCCAGTGTGAGTGCGGGCCGCGTGGGGCCAGGCTGCTGTGCTGGGGGTGAGGCTGGCTGCCCTGCCGCAGCCCCTCATTGCCTTCATTCCCCTTTCCTCACACAGCGCTGGTGGCCCCTGGCTCATAACGGACATGCGGAGAGGAGAGACCATATTTGAGATCGATCCACACCTGCAAGTATGTCTGAGTGAGGGGACCTTGCTAGCCACTGTGCCCAGGCCACTGTAAGAGGACACTGGATTTCCTCCTGGGAGGGGAGCAGATCTGTGGGGGTGAGCAGAAAAGTGCAGCATGACTTGGAATTTGTCCCCTGAACATGGCAGGTGACACAGGGAGCAGAGATTTCAGCCCCAGAAAACATGTCTCGGTCTTGTGTGTTTTTTCATTTAAAAAAAGATGAATTCTATTGTATTTTAATTATAAATCAGAGCAGGGATTTAGGTCAGTGGTTCTGCCACCTGCCTCATAAGCACAAGGACCTGAGTTCGATCCTCAGTACCAAATAAATAAATAAAATTATATATCAACTTTAAAAATTAGACCAGCAGCAGCTAAAGATAATAAGCATAGTGGATGTTGCTTTCCTGCCCAGGATTCATTCCCCCACTTTCCCTTCTTGAGAGCACAGGTTTTCAAAGAGCCACTGTACAGGCAGTGGCCCAGGTGACAGTGGCCCGTGGCCTAGCTGCAAGGTGTGTGCTGGTTATTTCATCACCTCTCCGGACATGTTCATTCTCCGCCCCGGCCTGGAGAGCGTGGCACCCCTGGGTGTGTGAAGGGTCTCCAGCCCCTTGCCATGGCCCACCTGCAGTGTGTCAGTGCCATCTTTAGTGTTTTAGAGGAAGCGCCCCTCCAGCATGCAGGTGATTTTGAAAACCCTCAGAACATCACCACCTGTCCTGTGGGCCATGAGGAATAGGAGCAATAGACTGCTAGCTCCTTCTACCAGCCCTACCACTGCCCTCTCTGAAGCTTTCATACGTCTGTAAAGCTCTGGCAAGTCGCAAGCTGATGCCAGGAGTTTCATGTCCTACAGAGGGAGAGGTGGCAGGTGGCTATGTAGCCTGCTATTCCTGGGTTCGTTACCGCAGGCCTGTGAGTTCTTGGGCATGAGTCTTTTTAATTCATACATGATGTACCTCTGTTTTCCTAGTGCCTCTAACACTGAAACTTTCATATTGCTGCCAGGTTGCTCTGTTGTCTCTACATTAAACTTAATGTCTTTGTATCCTCTGCTTAAGCATGAACCAGGAAACCATGAAGGCAGTGTCTCCCTAAGCCCTTGTTCTGCAGCCATACCGGTCCAGCATGGAGGACTGTGGGCTGCTATTTAGCCACTGTCATAAATGCCAAGTACTCAGAGTGAGCCTGGTCCCTTGAACTGGTAGGGTAAAAAACCACCCTTTTCTGCCTACCAAGAACTGTTCTCTTCTCAAGTCTGCCGGCTCCCTTAGACCAGCCTGCAGGACGAGCAAACCATGGGAGAAAGTGCAGCTGTCTCTTCTCATGGCCCAGGTGCACCAAGTTTGAACCCCTCTGTATTTGTTTGGGTCTTTCTGGGGTCTGCTTGCCATCAAGAGCTGTCTCATATTTTTTTTGATCTAAGCCCTGCTACCAGGCCAATTGTGATGGTGCATGCCTATAATCCCAGCACTCAGGAAACTGATGCAGGAAGCTTGCCATGAGTTTGAGGCCAGCCTGTGCTACATAGTGATTTCAAGGCCAGCCTGGACCATACAGTGAGACCCTGTCTCAAAAAAAAAAAAAAATCACTTTAAGCTGTACTACTAACCAGCTGTGTGCCTAAACAAGTCCCTGACTTTTCTGTCTTAATGCTTTCTTTTTACTTATAAGGTAAGTGAGCTACTAGGAAAGCCAAGAAATATTTGTCATCAGTTCTTTGCCTAGGTGGGGGCTTCAGGGCAGCCAGTGGAGAGGGAGAACGCAGGCTCCCCCCGAGCAAATCAGAGCCTGCGTGCTCTCTCAGAAACCCCAACTTGGCCCAGGCTGATGGCAGCACTGGAAGGGAGGAAAATCTGATAAGGGGAGGAGCCACTGTGCCTGAGCCTCCCCCACGTGGGCCTCTGGCTGAGAACGGGCCAGTATGGTGCTTGTGGAGACCTGGGAGGGGTGTTGGAAGACAGGAAGTGCAGCCTGTCACAGGAGGCTTATTTGGCTGCGTGGCTGTTTGTGGGCCAGGTTATTAGTGCCTTTCAGATGACCTTTGATCCAAAGCCCAGCATTACAGAACTATGTTTCGCTAGAAAACCGGGGAATGTTTTGAGTACAACTCTTCCTTGAGGCTATTTGGAGAGGTTTGGACTCCACAGTGCCAAGGCCTGCACAAAGATGGGGTTTGGGGGTGGGAGGTGTGCAGATGGTCACTGCCCTCAGGCCCATGTGGGCCTAACAAGTGAAAAGCAACTGAATCCAGACCCCTTTGGCCGTCTGCTCTGGGATGGCCACGCCCTCTAGTTGTTAGAAGAGGCAACTGCACCTCTGAGTTTCCTCGCCCTTGGCAGGTTCCACCCTGCCACAGTGCACGAGAGAGAGAGTGTGTGTGTGTGTGTGTGTGTGTGTGTGTGTGCGCGCGCGCGCGCGTATCTGCATCTGTATCTGTATCTGTATCTGTATCTGTATCTGTATCTGTATCTGTATCTGTCTGTCTGTCTTATTACAGGATCCAGAGGACAGGAAGGACTGTGCCCTTCCTTAAGGAAGCAGATCCTGTCATTGCTATGTTGGCCGGGTGGGGGTTTGGAACGAGGCATGAAGGCTACTGTGCTGGAAGGCTCAGAGTCCCTGCCCTTGCAGCAGCTGTCCATGCTTGGCCCCTGAAAGGGCTCAGCCTGCTGAGGATGGTAGCTGGAAGGGTGGTGGTAACTTGGGCCACCAGTTTTCTGAAGGAACTCTGGCTGTTTGGTTCTTTTCAAGCAGGAAAGAGTTGACAAAGGCATCGAAACCGATGGCTCCAACCTGAGTGGTGTCAGTGCCAAGTGTGCCTGGGACGACCTGAGCCGGCCCCCGGAGGACGATGAGGACAGCCGGAGCATCTGCATTGGCTCTCAGCCCCGGCGGCTCTCTGGCAAAGGTAGCAGCTGTTGCTGGCCTTCCTTCTTCCTTTTCAGTCTCATCCTAGAGAGCTAGCTAGCAGTGGTTTATTTCCTGGCCTGCTAAGCAGAAACTGAAGTCTTTTTTTTTTTTTTTGGTACTGAGGCTCTAACTCAGGTCCTAATGCTTCTGAGGTGGGTGGCAGCAACACTGAGCTAAATCCCTGACCCAGAAAATGAAGTCTAGAAGCAAGGACGAATTAAAGGAACTTTATTGACCCTTTTCTAGCTGTTTCCTGTGTATATTTCAAATGCATCACTAGCAGAGACCACTGTGTTTTCACTTTTCCCCTTTGATCTGAGGTCATGGAACAGTTAATATAACCATAGAACAGTGAACAGGAAAAGTCCACAGTCTACTCAAGAGCAAGAGAAAAATGTCAGCCACCCACAGAATTGCCACACAGCCCACCTCTGGCCCGAAGGCCATGCCATATCCCAGGATCGCTGTCCTTAGGCCCTTCAGGACTTCAGTGATGGAAGCCTGAGTATGAAGCCAGCAGTACAAGGGGCATGATAGCTTTGCCCCCCACCAAAAGGAATCATTTAGGTACCTTTGACAAAAGGAGCAGTTTAAGAAGTGGTTCGTAGACTTATCCACAATTTTAATCATTATTGGCTATTTTTTAAAATTACGGTTGCCAGGGATTTAGCTCAGTGGTTCTACTGGCTGCCTCACAAGTGCAAGGACCTGAGTTCAATCTCTGGTACCAAAAAAACAAAAACAAAAAAATTACAACTCATGCCACCTGCCTCACAAATGCAAGGACCTGAGTTCGATCCCCAGTACCAAAATAAATAAATAGATAATTAAAAATTACAACGAGGCACAGTGGCACAAGCCTATAATCCCAGTGCTCTGGGAGGCTGAAGCAGAAAGATTATAAACCTGAGTCCAGCCTGGGCTACGCAGTGACTTGGTGAGACCCTGTCACAAAAAATTAAAGTGGGGTGGGCTGTAATTCAGTGCTAAGGCCCTAGATTGAATCCCCAGTACCAGGGGAAATTTTTTAAGTTAAAAAATAAAAATTATAATGGTAATCCTTGCCATAGTAACAAGTCAGAGAAGTTAGTAACCTGTCTTCCCACCCTAAGCCCACCCTTTGAATAACTAGTGTTCATTTCCTTTTTCATATGTGTTTGTGGTGTGCAGAGGTAAATCTTAGATCCGTTTCTTCATATAGGGAAAGAGACTAGTAAGCTTCAGTCCCAGCAACATCAGAACACCTTGCAGAGAAGTAATCGCACCAGGGCCTACTGTCTCACCTCACAGTGCTTGCCGTCTCCTTGGAGATGGAGCTCCTGGTATAGAGCAAGGTGGAAAGATGATCTTAGGCAGCCCAGGCCCCAGGCAGGGGCTGCAGGACCAGATACTGGTTGTCTCCCCAGAACCCATTGTGGCAAGGCCCGTGATGCACTTGCCAGCATCCACTTCAGCAGAGAGAATCCCTGGTGGTCTGGGTGGTGGCAAAGGCCTTGGTAGTCATTCGCTTTCTGAGACAAGGCCCGAATGTCAGAAAGGAATGGGCAGTGGTGAGTGCCCTTTTGAAGCCAGGGGTTGGCCCCTGACCTCTGCAAGATTGGTGCTCCTCAGACCCACAGCGGCCCCTTGGAAATGTGGTGCCCTGTCCTGTCTCCTCACAGGCTGCGCTCACTCACCCGTCCCAGCCAGGTGCCTGGACAGCATGGCAGCCTTTCCTCAGTACATGCTGAGCAAGGTTCAAGAAAGAGCAGGGTGGCTGGGAGCCCAAGGGACCATCAGGCAGCTCAGTGATGTCATTGCAGACACAGAGCAGATCCGGGAGACCCTGAGGAGAGGACTGGAGATCAACAGCAAACCTGTTCTTCCACCAATCAACCCTCAGCGGCAGAACGGCCTCACCCATGACCGGACCCCGTAAGTTCCTGTGTCCCAGGACAGTTTTGTCCTGAGGGACTGTTCCTGTGAATTGCATGAGGAAACAATGCCCGTGGCCCTTTCTGAGTGAACCAGGGTCTCTCGCTTTAAAGGCAGGCATGGTTGGAAGCCTGCAGATCTGTGGGTCTTAGGAAAGGGCCTCAAAGGGGACCCAGTGGAGCAGGAATATAAACAGCAGTAAATATTTACGTGGGCTATGTGAACAGACTGGAGGCCAGGTTGGGGCAAAATCTGCCCTTGGGCCTCCCAGCCTTGTGGGACCCATTGTGCTGAACACGGTTCCTCTCTTATCTCAGCCTCGGCCAGAGTTGCCCTTCCTTCCTTCCTGGAGCCTGGTCTCCGGCTGATAGTTGCAACCCAAGGGACCTCCCTGTCTAGCCACCCCCATACTGGACGCCTGCTACTGAGGCCCTTCTTCCTGCCTGCCTTCCTTCCTTGGGCCCCAGGGGAGGGAAGAAAAGTCCTTCACAGGCCTTTGCTGCCTGTCTAGGAGCCCTTCCAGCCCTTGGAAAAAGACCCCAGAGGTCTGATGCACTTCCTGGCAGCCTCTCTTCCTCTCACAGGGAGCAAGTGGTGGGCAGGGATGGAGCTGGGCACCCCCTTCTGCCCTTAGTCCCAGGGCAGCTCTTGGGAATAGCTGCTGGCAAGGGATTCCTGGGAGCTGGGAGCTCAGAGCAGGAACCTTGCCTGCCAGGAGTGAAACTGCTGTGCCTTGGACTGAAAGGAAAGTCAGCTAATCCTGTGAGACCAGGGTGATCTACCTGTCTTCTGAGAAGTCTTCATTGCACACTTGCTATGTGGCAAGCGCAAGTCCCAGGGGCCATGTGGGATGCACAGGCTTGTCCTTTCAGGGTGCACGAACGAAACAGTGGACTTTGAGTGGCAGAGGCTGGCTGTGGTCTCAGTTTGCCGCTGCTTTGTAGTCCAGCTCCAGGTGCTGATCATGGTCCCCAGAAATGGCACCGATGCAAGGACAGACGGCACGATCTCCGGTAGTTGGGAAGGGTGCCCGGGAGGAGGAGGACCGTGAGATGTGTCCTGGAAGTGTAACAAGCAGGAAAAGCTGCTGCAGGGGCTAGAGCAGGAGGCCTGGCTGGCTAAGGTTGAAGCTGCAACCCAAGAGCAGGTTGTAGAGTAGGGAGAATTACTCTGTGTGGCTCACTTGACTCGCCTGCCATCGAGAAGCCAGGAAGTTCAGGGCTTGGAGAGGCCTTCATTGCCATGGTGGCTTCCAGCTGTGGCCAGTGGGCCTCTCCAGCGAGCAGCCCTGAAGTAGCTCACTTGAGGCACCTGGGTTTCCCTGGCAGCATCAGATGGCTAAACTAGGTCATAGAACATTGGGAATCTCCTGCTGAAGTCTGGACTGCATCCTAAGGCCCCCTCTCCTTCCTGGGCCCTGCACTCTGGGCTTCCTTGGCACTGTTGAACTGGTAGGCTTGAGGTTTTTTCAAGCTCGCTGCCTACAGTGTGGAGGGTTGCAGTCCAGATGGTCTCCTGCCTCTGGAAGGCCAGCTTGTCTGGGCAGAGGGCAAGGCCTCCTGCAGAAATGCACCCAATTGCCCCTCTAGTATGTCAGGAACAGGCCTGAGATTGTATCATTGTATCTTATCCATCATCCATCCACCCCCACTTCTCTCTCCCTCTCCGCTCCCCTCCTTTCCCTCTCTCTGACTTGGGCATACTTCAGCTACTGCACAACTAGGCCCCCATGGGGGCACAGATTCTGTTCCTGTGGACACCTCCTGACAGGGCAGGACAGGGTTCTGTACACCAGGCAGAGACTGCAGCCTACAGCCCTTGGGCTCAGTTATCCTGAGATGCAGAAATGGAAGGTAGCTGAGTGTGGTTCTGCATCCCTACATCCTAGCACTCTGGAAGGCTGAGACAGGAAGATCGAAAGTTTAAACCCAGCTTGAGCAACTTAGCGAGACCCTGTCTCAAAAAAAAATATAAAAACAGGACTGGGGGTTTAGCTCATTGGTGCAGCACCTGCCTGGCAAACACGAGGGCCTATGTTCAATCCCCAGAACCCTACCAGGCTGGGTATGTAGTAGTCCTGTGCAAAGGACCTCAATTAAATCCCCAGTACCAGGGAGAAAGCAAAGTTGGAAATGGATCATGGCAGTTCTCCCGGGCCCTCTCCCTCCCACCAGTCTGCAAAGTGCTGAAGGGAGTCGGGCCCTCCTCCGAGGTGCTCATCCCCAATCTGTTAGCAGGTGATAGGCAGTGGCACACTGTCCTTTGCCGAGTGCCTTCTCCAGCAGCCCTCAGGCTCCTCAGACTGCAGCTCCCTGTGCTGCCAGGCTCCATGCAGACCAGCGAGCACAAATAATATCTGTGTTGCTCACTCTGGGGCCTGACCTGGTTTCGGACAGTACATGAGTTGTGACTGAGAGAGCCGACCCAAAATGTGCGGGCGCAGTGTTTGCCACTCTCCTGGCAGGAAGCAGCCATTGAGGCCTTCTTTTGTGTGTCTGATTTCCTCTTAGGATTTCTGGGCTGGAGAGCTGTGATACCTGGGTCTTCGCAGGTCTGTATGTGGTCCAAGGAGGCTCCTGAGGTGATTAGAGGTTCAGGACAGCTGATGGGCCCTGGGTGCGAGCAGGTGGGCTCTGGCCTAGTTGGGGGAGTCCACTCACTCCTCCCTAGCGGCCAGCATTTCCATAAGCTTTTCCTGTGCCAGGTAATGCTTCCAGACCTTATACCCATGTTAATTCATCCTTGAGTCACTCTAGAAGTCGTCTCTCTCTCCCTTCACACACATGCGTGTGCACGTGCGTGTGCACGCACATACCAGGGCCTTCACAACGAGCCACTTCCCCTTTTTCACTTGTGAGACAGGATCTCACGGAGTGGCCTGGGCTGGGCTCAAGTTTATAGTCCTGTTGCCTCAATACTGAGGTGACAGGCAGGTGCCACCACACCTGCTCACAGACCTTTTACAGATGAGAAAGCCGAGGTGTAGAAAAGCTAAAAAGCGACTTGCACTTGGGACATTCTGCTGCCCACAAAGGGTATGCTGTCCCTTGCCTTGCCCTGGGGATTCCATGAGACCCACAGACTGTCTCTGTGGTCCAGTGACCCTCACTGGTAGAAGTCGTGGAACTAGTTGGAGCATGTTGACACCACGGAAGCTCATTTACACCAGGATTACTTTTGTACCCAAGGCCTTGTTTTCTTTCTGTTCAGAAACAAACACAAATCCATCACTGGCCACCTCCACCTTAGTGCAAGGCAGTTTCTTCTTTGTGGAGGCCCAGCTTCCTGCTTCACAGACAGGCAGGCCTCTTTGGGTGACCTGCTTCTCCCCACTCACTGTTGCCAGGCCTCCAAGAGCCCGTCCTTGGCCCTCTTTGGGGCTTCTTCAGCATTCACACCCCTTGCTCCAGCCGTGAAGTGTGTGTCTGGCTTTTCCCAAGATGATCGGTTGAGGAGAGCCTTCCGCTTGCTGGTGCCTCCCTTCCCACTGGCTGCTTGGGTGAGTCTGGGATGCACGGGGAGCAGAGGAAGCAGCCCCTTTCTGCCACTTCAGGACACTCTGGCCCAGCATTTGTAGGGACCTGGAGTGGGGAGATTCTGGGCACCCTGTCTGTCCGTGGTGCGTGGTCAGCCAGAGTCTGACTCTGACCTTAGCGCCCATCCTGTCCACGCTGTGGGTTGGTGCACACATGGGAGGTTTGCATTGCTGTGAGGCGTCACCCAGATGCTGGAGGCCTGCATTAATTAGTATTCTGAGCCGCCTCCTCGTGAGCCCAGGCCTCACGGAGTAGGGAGTGCCTCGGGAGCCCTCGGTGAGCGGCACGTGGTGAGGCTTGGGTGTGTGCACTGGGGGGGGGGGG